TCCTTAGATGTAAATTTAGTTGCTGATTTGAGAGTTTTCTTCTGTTTAGAGCTATAAACTTCCCATTTAGTACGTTTTCTGTGTCTCATTGTTTTTGCTATAATGCTTTTGGTTTCTTTTGTCTATAAAAATGTGTAATTACTTTTTGACTCAGTGACTAAGAATGTATTGTTTAATTTCCACAAATTTATGAATTTTCCATTTTTGTTTTCTTGGTTGATTCCTTACTTTCTGTTTTAGGGTTGAAGAAGAAACTTTTTATGATATAGATTATTTAAATTCTGTTGAGACTTGATTTGTGGCCTAATATGTGGTCTCTCCTGGAGAATGTCCCTTGTACATTTGGGAAAAATGTATATTTTGTTCTTGGGTACAGTGTTCTATATATATGTCCTAGATCTAGCTGGCTTATTGTGTTCAAGTGTTCTTTCTTCTGTTGGGTTATTATATCCTTATTGACAATAGGCTACTGAGGTCTCCAGCTGTTATTGTAGGGCTGTTTTTTTATTGCTTAACTTTTGCTTTTGACAGTCTGTTATTAGGTATGTAAAAGTTTTTAATTGCTCTGTCTTCTTCCTCTGTTGAACTGTTTACTAATATATAATATACTTCATCTCTGTTAACCCTGTTTTGATTTAAAGTCTGATATTAGTCTATTTTTTGGTTACTGTTTGCATGAATATATTTTGCCATCCTTTGAGTTTGAACTCATTTGTCTTTGTCTTGTTTTGTTTTTATGGCACTCAGGATGGAACCCAGGGGTGGATCTCTCTCTCTCTGTTTTGCAATGCTGGGGTTCATACATATATGAACTCCTTTTTTTTCTGTACCAGGAATCAAACTCAGGACCTTGCACTTGCCAGGAAGGCATGGTGCCACTGAGTTACACTCCTGGCCCTCATACATATCTTCTGATGGCAAATTTCATTCATTTACATTTAAACTAATTACTGATGAGAGATTTATTTCTGTTTACTGCTGTTTTCTATATGCTTTATAGCTTTTTTGTTCCTCATTTCTTATACATCTTGATTTTTTATAGGGGTAATAGTGAGAGCTGACTGGACTTTGGTAGGCAGTATGATGAAAAATATGGTGAAAGTTTAAAAAAAGTTATTACAGTTGCACATTGTTACTAGTCCCCCTAAAAGTACTTTCCCTTGTTACATACATGCTTATCTCATCATTCTTAGTACTTTCTGAAGCGATTATGGAAGTCCTTTTTTAGAGTTTTAGTTGGGCTGCTATGGCTGCCTCAATATCCTGAATGGATTCAAAATGTTTACCTTTCATGGTCATTTGGACTTTGGGAAAGAGCCAAATGGATCAAGTGAATAAGGTAGGTAAGTGTCCCTCCCCCACAATGTTTTTAGGAGCCTGCCTTTACCTTGGGTCCCACATGGAAGCAACATTCAGTATAATTTTGGTCACACCTCATAAAGGCATTCATGAAAGAAGACTTCCAGAACTGCTTCAGAATGTGGCAAGAATGATGGGATAAGTATGTTTCAAATGAGGGGGATTAATGGCAATGTATTTGTCTTGGTTACTTTTTCCTGTTGTTTAGACAAAATACTGGACACCCAAAGTTGGAGGGGAAAGGGTTTATTTAGCTCACAGTTTGTAGTGGTTTCAGTCCATAATCAGCCGGCTCCATGGCAGGGGGCAACAGTTCATGGCAACAGAGACAGCAGAAGCAACAAAAGATCTTAACAGTGTCCTCCTGCCCCTTTTATCTTATACAGACTACTTAGAACAGGTAGCACTCACATCCTTAATCCTAGTGCCCTTGGGGCTAGGATTGCACCTTGAATTAATCACACACTCTAGATTCAGTCACCTCTGAAATAGCCCCACCTCATTTGCATGAGGCTTTGGAGGGACATCTCAACACAAGCCATAACAATATCTTTTAATACTATTTTTAAAAATTTAAACATTCATCATATATTTTGATCAAACCTTACAGTTTTATCTAAAAAAATACAGTTATTTTAAATATAGGTCACAGTCATAGGTTAGAGACAGAAAATCAAAGTAAGAATTTTAATCTCACTTATCATCTGTATAGACAGAAAATTTGGCATTTAAGTCTAAAAATAGTTGTAATCTAAGTTGGGGAGAAGAGTTATTTTAAATAAGTTATTTAATTAAATTGAAAACTAATGGGATTCTGATTCTCAGACAGTAAAATCCTACTTATTTGTTGTAAAATTAAAATGTCACATGCCTAAACAAATTAGACGTTTTGTATGTCTGAACATCTTTTGTGGATTGTGTGTGAACCACTCAATCTTGTTTGTTTTTATTAAGGGTGTATGAGCAGAAAGGATATAAAATGTGAACTTTTTATAGCTTTACTCTTTTATAAAGTTAATCACAATATATAGGTGGAATAGATTTGCAGATTGGGCTAAAGCATTTATAACGTAATCACTGAATGTTACGTAAGGTAACTTGATGAAAATACATACCTTAATGTAATAATGTGGACAGAGTTAATGCAGTGAAAGCCATCTCCAAGGTGTATGTTTTACTGCTGGTTTAAAGCTAGGCTGAGGATTTCTGTTGCTGGGAATTTAGTTATCTCTCTTTCTTTTAGACTACATGTGTTTGTTATTTTCCTCCCTCAGAATTTCTTAGTTTTACCTTTAATGATGTTGCCAAGGTTATGAGCATCTTCTTTGGGACGTTTCTTATTAAATAACCAGAATTTGACTGGGTATGGTGGTACATGCTTGTAACACCAGCACTTAGAAGGCTGAGGCAGGAGGATCACAAGTTTGAGTATAGCCTAGGCAATTTAGCAACTTATCCATACATGGTAAAAACTAAAACGAACAACTGGGGATGTAGCTCAGTGTGAAGGCCCTGGGTTCAGTTTCTAGTATCACAAAAATAAACAAAAGAGGAGGATTTGTAATTTTCTGTTATATTGACAAAGCCAGTGTGGAGGAATAGTTGCTCCCTTTGAATGTGTTCTCCAAAAGTGATTTCCTTCTAGAACATAAAACATTTAGAGAAAGCTGACAAAAGATGATGTCTTTTCAGTGTACTTGTTTTCCTGACCTCCCTGATTGGACTATTTACCTAGATCTTCTTCAACTGCATTCTTTCTATCAGTTGCCCTACACTCATGTTTCAGAGACATTTTTAAACTGTGGAAACTTTGTCTAATAATATCTTGCAAAGAGATCCATTTGTAAACAGATTGGAATGAAATAATGGGGTTGGTCTACTTGAATGGGAACTGGACCAAGATGTTTAAGCAAGGAAAGGCCTCAGACTATTTAAAAAGATTTAAGATTCGGGTTTCAAGTGTGAGCTGCATATGCTTCTTTTCATTCATTTTATTTGTTTTTTGAGACAGGGTCTCACTATGTAGCACAGGCTGGTTGTGAACTCACCACAATCCTCTTGCATAATCTTACTGAGTGCTGGGATTACAGTTATGTTGTACCATGCCTGGCTGTTTTTTAATTTATTTTAAGCAGGTTGTCTGACTTTAAAAAGCTTTGAGCGGGGCAAAATGATGCATACCTGCAGCTACTCTGAGATTGAGGCAAAAAGATCACTTGTGCCAAGGAACTTGAGGCCAGTCTGCACATTGTAGCTAGATCCTGTCTCAGGGAGAAAATTTTTAAAAGCATTTATTTGTGAATTGTTTATATATTTAGAATATACATCTTTAGCTTTAGGGTGTCAGAATTTCTTCTATGGCTTTTTTTGCAGAATGCAAATTAAGATAGCTTAGGTGTATGAAATTCTGATGCCGTGTTGTGTGTGTGTGTGTGTGTGTGTGTGTGTGTGTGTGTGTATCTACTGCTTGGCTGATTGGCTTAATTTTAGTCTTTAGTCAGCGAGAACAGAAGGTTTCAGGTTTTAGATTTTGTGTGCTCTGCAAGTAGCTCTAGTTGGGAACAAATGATCGAATAATATCAAAATTCAAGAAGCTCCTCCAAATTAATTCTCTTTATGGGTAAGAGTAGACAAAACAACTTGCTCTTTTCTTAGGTGTATCCTGTAGAACTGCTTTTAGGATTTTCTATTGATAAGGCCAAGTTCCCACATCTAATACCAATATAATCTGCTTTTAAATATATAAAAGTCAACCCTTATCCACATAAAGTGTGCTTTTACTGTATTCAGAGTTACGTGCCCATCACCACAAGTTTTAGAACATTGTGACTTCTGAAATAAACTGCACGCTGTTTTTGGGCAGTTCCTTTAAAGATGGCTTACCAAACAAAGTATTACAGGTCCTTATCTCCAACAGAGAAGTAGGTGAAACAAGCCAAAACGGTGCCAAAATTTTACTTGAAAAATGAGGGGTGAAGGTGTGAGGGAAAAACTGGCTCTGCAGAGCAAAGTTGGACCAAACAAAAGATAAAAAGAGCAAATGTAAAAGTACACCCTTGGTTGTTCTACAAGCCCCCGAATGGGCTACCCTGAAGAGTCACAAGAGCGAGCTCCTCCTGGCGTCCTGTTTCCTAGGAGCCGGTGAGAAGTTCCACCTGTGGATCCTGGCAGACCTGAGGTCTTCAACGGACAGGTCCCACCTACTTCTCCAGCCAGCTGTGCTTTGCCCCACCTCCTATAGCAGCACCTCTTAGCCCTTACCTTCCAACATTCCTGGCTTCCCAGTCCTTGGCCTAACCTATTTCTAGGTTCTGTAGATTTATCTATTCTGGGTATTTCATATACATTGAATCATATAATGACATGGCCTTTTGTTATTGGCTTGAGACAGGATCTTGCTGTGTAGTTCAGGCTGGCCTTGAACTCACTGTGTAGCCTAGGCTGGCCTGGAACTCATGGCAATCCTCCTGCCTCAGCCTCCCAAGTGCTGGGATTACAGGCATGAGCCACCACCCCCGCGGTTACTGACTTTTTTCAACGTAATGTTTTTAAGGTTCATACAGGTAGTGTGCATCTCGGTACTTTATTTTCTTTTGTTTGTTTTTGAGACAGGGTCTCATTAGCCCAGGCTGGCCATGAACTTGTGATCCTTCTGCCTCAGCCTCCTGAGTCCTGGGATTACAGGTGTGTACCACCACCCTTGGTATAGTACTTCATTTCTTTATATCACTGATTAACGTTCCATTGTAAGGATATACTTACTTTTACTTTCCATTCATTAGGTGATGTACATTTAGATTGTTTCCACTTTTTGGCTGTTCTGAATAAAGCTGCTATATACATTCATATAGATTTTTCTGTGCATGTAAGTTTTTAAAGTTTGGGGGGTATATATAGAAATAAAATAGCTGAGTCATATGGTCATTTTATATTTAGCCTTTTGAGGAACTGCTATACTGTTTCCAAACATACTGTTTTTACATTCTATCAGCAGAATGTAAGGGTTTTAATTTCTCAGTGTCCTTGATAAAACTTGTTGTTATCCTGTTTTGCTTTTTTTTTTTTTATAATTATTCTAATAGTTGTAAAGTGGTATGTCATTGTAGGTTAAATTTGAAAATAGAAGTTAGGCATAACAGTAGTGACAGTACTCTTAAGATGAGTTAATATTACAGCTAAAATATTTAATAGGTTAATGTAAAAATATAACTATTAGTGTCACTTTAAGATTTAAAAAAATTGATGTCACAGCTTTATCTTATTTCTGAAGATATTGTTCTGTCACCCCTCCTCCTTCCCAAATCTTTTATTGAAAAACAAAAGAGAACATTCAGTTGTTTTGAATATTCAGAACATTCATGTGTACTGTGGATCAAGCAGAGGTTTACTGTTTGCTATTAAATAAATACTTGCTGGGATGTACCAGTATGGGTTCAGTTGGGAGATAGAAAACTACACAGTAACTTAACAGGGAAAAGCTATAATGAGTTATTAAGTATAACATGGGAGTGGATTAATAAGGGAGAAGTTATGAGTGAAAAGTAAAGACAGTTTTAAAGGAAATAGGAACAGCAGATATAAAGAGCAGTTATTACCCCCACCCCTGGGATAGAATACTTCTCCACACCCAGGAGAGATCTTCTCCTTGTTAGGAAAGGCCAAGGTCAAGGCTAGGTATTGTGGTGAGGTTCTAGTGCTGGAGTCTGCCCTTTCTGATCTGGAGAACACTGTTCACAGGGTCAAATCTTACCAGAGGAGCTCTACTACAAAACTGCCTGGATCTTGTTAGCAAAGCTGTGCAGCTGCCTGAGCCCCATGATGGGAAAGCCATCCTTGTAGCAGTAGTGGAGCCCTGAACTGGCCTCACCTGCTATAAGAGTGCTGTGGAACCAGGAGGTTAAATTTTGTTTCCCTCCTGTCTTTTCAGTGCTCTCTTGTAACATGGGCCATGTATTTACTGACCACTTTAATATCCCCAGACCTGTTTTTAGTTTTTATTTCAAGACAGAGTATCACTAAATTGCTAAATTGCCCAGGCTGGGCTTGAATTTGTGGTCCTTCTGCCTCAGGCTCCAGAATTCTGGGATTATATACCTGGCTTTGGTTGAGCTTTAAGGAACGACTCCCAAAATCTTAGTATAGAACCAGAAAACTAGGGGAGATATTGTCTCTTATTTTTAAGAAACTTCCTAATTGTGAAATTGCTTCTAAGAACATTGTTTCTTGAACCCCACTGTTACTGCACAATCAGAAAACAAGTCAGGAGGCTATGTTGATCCTGCTTACTGCTGCCCTTACAAGCTGTGGATCTACCTTGGCTTGTTCTGGCCTGTACCTTCTCTGATGTAATGACTGTACCAGTCTCTCTCAATTTTATGCTTTGGAAGAGCTATGAAACAATGTACAGGTCTCTTGTCCTTTTTTAAGAGTCCCTATCAGGTATGAGGCAGTATCATTGTGGTTTACATTTCCCGGTGAGTAATGTTTAGTACAGTTTCATAAACCTGTTGGTCATTTTTATGTCTTGGAAGAAATGTTCATTGCCAATTTAAATAGGCCCCCCTTTTTCTTTCTTTAATTTTAATCAGTACATGTTTGTAATGCACGATGATTACATTCATTGTGAGAAATCGGTACATGGACGTAACACATCTCAGTCTTTCCCCTGTCCTCAACCCGTTTCTTGCCCTGTCTCTGTTGAGCCGCCTAACTCCCTCTGCACTTGGCCTGGGACTTGCTGTCTGGCCCATGCTGGCCTCAGACTTGCCATTTTCTTGCCTCAGCATCCCAAGTGCTGAGGTTTGTCCCCAAGTTTTAAATTTAATCTGACTTACTTATTTTGCTATTGTTGCCTATGCTTTTGGTATCCTATTAGAAAAGATATCATTTGTCAAGACCAGTGTTCTCCTCTAGATGTTTTATGGTTTTAGGCCTTACTTGTAGGTCTTTGATCCATTTAGCATGTTTTCAAGATGCATCCATGTTGTAGATGTATCAAAACTCCATTTTGCTTTGTGACTGAATAATACTCATTCTACATATATACCACATTTGTTTATCTGTTCATCTGTTGAAGGATACTTGGGTTGTTTCCACCTTTTATGAATAATGCTGCTATGAACATGGGCATAAAGTATTTGTTTAAGTTTCTCGTGTTCAGCTATTTTGGGTATATACCTAAGAGGGGAATTTGTGCATATAAAAATAACCCAGTTTAAAAATGGGTAAAAGGCTTAAATACATATGTCTTCAAAGGTAAAAACATGGCCAAAAAACATGTGGAAAGATGCTGAACACTTAGTGAATAGGGAGATCCAAATCAAAGTCACAGTATTCGCATCTGTTAGGACAGCTGGAATCCTAAAAATGGAAAATAATAAGTGTCGGTAGGGCTGTGGAGAACCTGGAACCCTTTGTCCCTTGCTGGAGGGAAGGCAAAACAGGGCAGTCACTATGGGTATAAAACTATTGCTAAGTAGTTTGCATTGTAAAGATGGACTTTTTCGTGTGTCTGCTGTTACATTAGTGCAGTGAGATGGTTTACAAGATATGGGTTTTCTTTACTCACTTAGCAGAATTGTCTGTTGGCACTTCTCATACTTGATCCCCCAAAATTGCCATGTTGGATTATCAGGCATATTTGTACAACATAAATGCATAAATGTTAATATTTAAGACATAAGGGAATCTAGACACCCCCCACCAGAGAAAGATGGCATGAAAATAGAAGAGAGGCTGTTAGAGAAAAAGGAAGTGCAAGAGGAAGGACATTTTTTGTGTGTGTTTTGTTTTGCTTTTTAAAGCTTTCAAGTTCCTCAAGTATGGGAAGGCACTCCACAGGGAAATTGAGATGGATAATTGTGTGCTAAGATTGTATACCAATTCTGCCATATTATCAGGTTTTTAAGACTTTCTCATGAAATTAGTCAAGCAGTGGTAAAGGGCAAGGAAGTGCCTTTAAGGAAGCACAGACAGAAGTGTCAAAAGCTGCCTCCCAGGGCTGACAAAGGGTTTAGGGAGCAAAGGCAGGAATTGAAGTTTTGCACAGCTAATAGTGTAGGTGGTTCTAGTGTGGCTTACTGGTGTGGTTGATCTCAAGCCTGGTTCTGTGAGGTTCTGGGAGAGTATCCTCACTCGAGGGAACAATTTGGATTCCATCGTGAGATGAAGGCTCCTGCGTTGTGCAGGGTATCACCTCATCATGGGGTGGTCTGTAAGGCTCTATTTTTCCTGGAATCTGAGGTGACTTAAGGGCAGGACAATGACTGGAGACTTCTGGGCAGTTGCTCCAGGGTGTCCGGAACTGTACTTTGTAAAAGTTGACAAGTGAATGTTTGTTCTTATAAATCTGGAAAATTACTTTAGTTACTCTTACCTTGGTGTCCTCAATCTTGAAGGGGGATGAGACAGGCGAGGTAAATTGGGAGCCAGTCACTTGTGTTCCAAAAGTGATTAAAATGCCTACTTGCAGAGCTGAGTGCAGAGGCCAGACTCTGTCTTGTTTTTAGTTACTCACTGGGTGTTCACAGGCCTGGCCTCTAGGTTCTTATTACAGAAAGATTTTTTTCCTCCCTGTAGATACATATAACAATTCTTAATTAAGTTGAAAATTAGAAAAAGTTCCTTTGACTTTAAAAAAATCATTTTAAAAAATAAGTCAAAGAATAGTTTAAAATTTCTCAATGATTTAAAAAACAATTTTATGTAATTTTTTACATAATCTGTAATCCTTTTTGAGTTAATGAGAAAATTGAAAAAAGTGTTTATTTGTGTTTTGTTGAAAAGTTTGTTATTGAAGAAAGACATTCGGAATACTTGTAACTTCTGAATCTATTAAGTGAAATGATTTTATAGCTGCTTTTTAGCTTTCCTTTACAGTAGCATTACTAAATACTGTATAAACATATGATTGTTAGATCTGCAGTCATTTCATTTTCTAGTGTTGTTACAACGTTGTGCTTTAGTAAAGATTAGTGTATATAGTTGAGATATTCAGGTTATTTTTATGTGAATAGTTGCAAAGTAGGTATGAAAATTATAAAAATTATATGACTTAAGATGTAAGGTTGTTTATATAGTGACTATTTCCCAAAGAGGAAAATTTTGACTGAAGGAAAATGTCGGACTATAAATACACTAAACAGAGGATGCTATGTTTGCTTTGCGTATTTTAAGTAAGAATTTTAGAAGAAATCAACCAATAACATGCTGGCAGGGCTGTGAGGAAAAAGGAACGCTTCTCCACTCTTGGTGGGAGTGCAGACTGGTGCAACCACTGTGGAAATCAGTATGGAGATTCCTCAAAAAACTAGGATTAGAGGTCCCATTTGACCTAGCTATTCCCCTGCTGAATATCTTCCCAAAAGAATTAAAAGAATCCTAACCACAGCGATATATGTGCACCCATGATTATAGCGGCACAGTTGGTAATCGATAAGTCTTGGGAACAGCCCAGTTGCCCATCAACTGGAGACTGGATAAAGAAGATATGTTTTTTTATAAAATGGAGTACTACTCAGCCATAAAGAATGAGAAACTAGAGACATTTATAGCTAAATGGATGCATATCGAGGCGATACTCAAGTGAAATAAATAGGATGCACATATGTAAATAGTGAAAGTTTCTCTGGTGTGAGAAACAAAGTGTAAATAAGGATCAAAATGTGTAATAGATAATGTGAAATAGGAAGAAAAGGTCCAAAAGGGAAGGGGAAGTGGGAGGGGTAGGAGAAAGGAAAGAAGGGAATGGAATAAATATGAGAAAAAAAAAAGAATTTTAGAATAGGGAAGATGATTTGAACCATCTCAAAAGAACTTTTCCACACTGTGACCATAAACTGTTGTGTTTGATTTCAGCATTTTTCTTGTTCCAGGATTTGTGTAATTGATTGTAGATGTATTTATTTTTTTGGTACCAGGAATTGAACTCAGGACCTTGTGCTTGCCAGGCATGTGCAGCAACCCTGAGCTAAATCCTCAGCCCTGTAGATGTTTTAATAGTCACATATTATACACTGAAATGATCCAATACAGGCATGTACGACTCATTCTCTTGTAGTTTCCTATGATAGTGTGTTTCCTGTGATGAAAACTTTACTTGTTTGGTTTTTATGACATCTAATATATAGAAAATGGAATTCTGTTAAGTATTTAATATCATTAATTTTTATTTTTTAGATTATGCAATGGTGAAATGAAGTAACTCAAGATGAGCAAGTTAAAAGTGATATCAGAGAAAAGGTACCATGATTCTAAATATTAATTTGTATAGAAAAATAATACATGATAAAATTACTTGATTACTTTGAGAAATGTTTATATTTTATTAATATTTAATGTATAATTTCAAGTAAGTGTCATTAAACTAACTAATGGGCCATATTTGCCTACCTTTGATTTTTTTTTTTTAGTACTGGGGATCGAACTTGGGACCTTGGGCTTGCGAGGCAGGCGGCAGAACCACTGAGCTAAATCCTCGGGCCCCTACCTTTGGTTTTTGTATAGCCAATAGCCCTAATGGTTGTTACATTGTTCTAAAAAACCCCCAAAATTATAATACAGTGAACTCTTGAGTTACAGCTGGCACAAAGGAACAACTTGGGTTACAGCTGCAACTTTAGTTTTAACTTACAACCAAAGTCTTGAGTTATAACCTGAATGCTGGTCTTTCCTGTGTGGGGTTAATTGAGAAATCTTAGGCCAATGTCTTTCTAAGGACACTGAAATTTGCCTGGAAGAAGGTGTGATCTAAAATTATACACGAGAGAGACTTTGAAGGCTGTGTAGAGGAGTCTGAGCCTTCAGCTGACCCTGTGGTTGATGACACTGTCACTACAGCAGAGTCCATAGGCTTGCAGGTAGACAGTGATGATGTTGAGGAACTGGTGGAGGAACACTCAGAGGAATTGTCTACAGAGGAACTTCAGCAACTTCCGGCTGAGCAACAGAGGATGGCAGCTGAGGAGCTTTCTGAAGAGGAGGGGGAATATCAGTAAACAGTGCAGCAAACTTCTTCTGAAATAAAGGAAATCCTGAGAAATGGACAGAGCTACAAACATTTGTAGAGAAGACCCACCCAGACAGAGAAAAAGCCAATCGTTACATTCACTTGCTTGGTGACAATGTCATGTCATACAGCAGAACAGAGTTAAAGACAGAAACAGACAACCTCAGACCAGGTTTTAGTTCTGGAAAGGTGGAGACCTTTGAGCCAGAAGCAGGTCTCACTGGGCTACAGACTCCCAAAGAGAGAGAGAACACAAGAGATCCAGATTCCTGATGTTCTTATGGAAGGGGACTCTCCTTCCAAACAATAACCACCTTCCAGTTCAACTTCGCTTACTGCAAGTCAAATGGTGAGTACAGTATGAAATTAGTGTTTCTGGTAAACTAGGTACATTTTATAACTTTTTGGTGAATGTAGTAGGAAAATTAATGGTGTTTCTGGTAAATTATGCACTTTATACAACCCTTTTTTATTATGAAAAGGTTAGATAAGGGCTTTGGGAGATTCAAAATGCATTATAGGTATTTTTATTATTTCTTATGGGAAAAATAGTGTTGACTTACAACCAGCCCTTGGGAATGAATTAAGTTCATAAATCATTGTACTGTGTGACACATGAAACTCAAATTTTAATGTACATAATTAAAGTTTTATTGGAACACAACTCTGCCCATTTATTTACATATTGTTTGTGCCATTTTTATACTCCGGTTGCAAAATTGAATCAACCCTGACGATCAGTGGGGTGACAGATGTCACAGCGAGATCACCCTCACATCCGACAAAATTGAGTAGTAACATAACATAGATAGTATAATCTACAGTGCCTAAAAAACATGGTACAGTTTAAGCACAAAACACAGTTATTACTGCTGCTGAGTGCCATCCAAAAGAAAGGGATCTTTAGAAGGAGCGAGTTGACCCTTAGTTACAGTGTTTGGCAAGTTTCAGTTTGTTCTGTGGAGTCATTCAGTTGTGAGCTGTGGTTGAGAGAATATACATTTTAAGGTTTGCCATATATCATAGATCGTGAACAATGCATTTAGATGAAAATTTTGTTTCATTGGAGTTGCTTGATTGTGATGCTTCTGATTCCTGCTTTTAAAGAAATATCACAAAACGGCTGGTGATTTAGCTCAGTGGTTCCGCCGCCTGCCTCGGAAGCAGAAGGACCCGAGTTCAATCCCCGGTACCAAAAAAAAGAAAAAAAAAGAAAAAAAAGAGAAATATCGCAAAAGTTGAAACTTGGGTCTGTGGTGTGATCCTGGTCAGATTCTGAGACTAAGGTTCAGAGTTCTGGATGGAGACCATCCAGTTCTCCTTGTGCAGAAAAAGGAAGTCAATCAAATCCCAACATCTAGGTAGTGCTGACTATATTTTTTGACCTTGCTGGAATTGTGTGAGCTGAGTTTGTGTCCAGGAACAATGAACTCAGAATGTTATAAGGGCTTATTAGAGTGTTTAAAAAACAAAACAATGTGCATAGAGTATGGCCTGATGGTTTCATCTTCCATCATGAGTAATGCGCCATGTCACATGCTTCTGATAAGGTAATTTTTTTTTTGGTACTGGAGATCTAACTCAGGACCTTGCGCTTGTGAGGCAGCCATGGTGCCACTGAAGTAAATCCCTGGCCTGGTAAGGCAATTTTTGTCCAGTAAAAATATTACTATGTGTCCTTATCCACTTGTTTACTGGATCTGACACTGTAAAACTTCTGGCTTTTCCCCAAGTCAAATGATCATGGAAGGTAAACATTTTCAATCAGTTCAGCACCTTGAGGCAGCCAACACAGCACAACTAAAGACACTGAAAAATGACCTCCAGAACTGCTTTGGAAAATAGGAAGGACAATGGGATAAGTGTACTTGAAGTGAGGGAGGTGTATTTTGAGGGAGACTAGTAACTGAATCAGTCAGTTATTGGCTGGTTGATTGAGACAGGGTCTCACTGTGTAACCCAGGCTGGCCTCAAACTCATGGTGATACTCCTGCCCCAGCCTCCCTTGTGCTGGGATTATAGGCATGTGCCCCCACACCTGGCTATTTATTTATTTATTGGTTGGTTTTTTGTTTTTTTTTTTTTTGGTAACGGGGATCAAACTCGGGTCTTGTGCTTATGCAGTAGGCAGCGAAACCACTGAGCTAAATCCCCGGCCCTGTTGGTTGGTTGTTTTGAGACAGTTTAGATTGGCCTTGAACTCAGTTTAGTCCAGGCTGGCCTTGAATTTGGCAATGATCCTCCTGCTTCAGCCTGCTTAGTGCTGGGATTATAGACTTGCGTCACCATGCCCGGCTCTGATCTTCTTTTCTACCCTCCTCACATCTCCATCTCCAGAAAGGCTGGTTCCCTGTTTTTTACCATCTCTCCTTTATTTTGCTCTTTAAATTATTTATATTTTGGGTTTTTTCATATGAGATAAACCATGTGGTATTTAATTTTTTGTGTCTGATGTATTTTACTAAGCATTATGATATCATCAAATCTGTATCAGTCAGTGCTTACTAGAGAAACAGATTTAATGCAAGATATACAAATACTTAAGAATTTACAGGATTGGCTTACAGTGGCCACCCAGAGTCAGGTGTGGAAGATGCAAAATGTCTGTCTGTGTGCTGGAGGTCTAAAGGATCCAGTCGAAGGCCTGGAGCTCAGTGTAGTGTTCTATGCGAGTCCGTATCAGGAGGCCAAAGGGTCTGTGAGGGAAGGTTGAAGGGTTTGTACTGGAGGCTGAAGAGTCTGTGTTGGAAGCCAAGAGACAACATCCCAGGTGAAAGTGAAGACCTGAGCTCCTCCGAAGAAACAGAAGTGAGCCTCCTTCTTCATTTCCCTTTTATACCATTTAGGTGGCAAGCCCATTGGTTGCTGTCACTTACACCCAGTAAATCCCAGCAAATCTCCAGTAAATCCCCTCAGCCACAATTTAGTTGGATGTTTCTTGCTAAAGTTGACATAATCACTTAATTATCACAATGACTCATCTGTTTTCCTATGAATGATTCAAATGTATACTTCTTTGTGGCTGAATAGTACTGTACTCCATTGTGTATGTAAACCACGTCTTTATCCATTCATCTGTTGATGAGCATCTAGGCTATTTTCATAATATAACTATTATGAATTGCCCTGCTATAAACATGAGCATGCATGTATCACATAACCAAAGATGCTGAACATTTCTTCATGTACTTATTTGTCATTTGTACTTCTTTCGAGAAGTATCTAATCATTTCAGTTGCCCATGTGTTGATTGGGTAATTTATTTTGGGAGGTATAATTTTTTTGAGTTCTTTATATATTCTAGATAATAGTTTTCTATCAGAGAAGTAGCTGATAACTTTTTTTTCCTCATTCAGTAGGTCGTCTCTTCACTCTTTTTTTTTTAATTCTTCTATTGGTACATTTTAGGTATACAGTACATTTACATTTATCATTGGGTGCTTGTACCTGTACATGATGTATCTTGGTTCTTATTTTTCCCCATTACCTGTGCGTCCTTCACCCCCTCCACCCTTCCCTATTTACATAGATTTCGTTTCCATTTTTTTTCTTTTCTCATAATTTTTCCTTTCCCTTCTTTCCTTTCCCCTTC